GTGGGGGGGGGGGGGGGGGGCTGGAAATTTTATCAGTGTAACATGTGTAGCAAACAACCTTTATGTCATACTGATTTTGCAGAAACATGACCGAGTGAGCGCTCTAGGCAGCAAGCTATCTTTTCCGGTAACCTAGTCAACATGGATTTAGGCAGTTAGGACAAAGGAAACAGCTCGTGAACACTTTGAATGTACTTTTTACGCTTTGAACCTTGGAAAACATTAGTGTTTGTAAGTATTTATTTGATTGGAAGACATGTGTTGTCTTTTTGGTCGATAAATAGCAATATTGTGTCTATTGACTAGTAATGATTTTTTTCCCTTTCTTGTTATATATCAGTTAAAAAAACGTTTCGAGTGTTGCATTACGATAAGTGTATTAAGATAAGTGTATTATCTTAATGTTTTGTTCAGTAACAAAAACACGTTTCCAAAAACTCATTCGTTAAGAAAAGCCGTCCTTGTGCGAAAACCTTTTGTTAGTTGTTCGCTGGTTGTCTAGCATATAGTCACATGTTGTGAGGACAGCACAGCCCTCGAATGCTAAAATTAATACTCTCATAATGGACTAAATGAAATATCAAATATTCTGTACTTTTTGTAGTATTTTTTAATATCTAAAAACATTTTTTGTTTTAAGCTTGCTTGCTTACTAGTAGAAAGCTTCTCTTTCATATAAAATAATTTCATAACTATAAGTAGGCAAGTTTCCCTATTTTGCAGTTGAGCTTTAGCTTTTCCAACCGAAGAAACTTTTACATTTGACGCCTCTGTGTATATACATATTTGGTAGATGTTATCCTTACAAAATACTTGATTAGTTTTGGCTACTGGTTATAAAATCCGTTACATGCTATTTTTGTTCTCTTGGACCTGTCCACATGAACATTTTAATACTCTAAATTTCTGAAAGAGTTTATGTTTATGGCGGTAAATAATAATAATAAAAAACAATCCTAAAACTGCGCTTATTTTGTTAAATGGCATGAAAAGCACTGAATGGCGTCTCTCTCCCACCACGCTGCGGTAAAAGTCACTTGCTCTGGAGCTTGTGTTTCTTCATTCCCATGATGTGTCGCTCCACGGTCAGACAAAGGCTCAATGTTATCCTGACCGCACAGATGGGTTTCTGACGCTGAATTTGCCTGAAAAGACAAACGAAGGGGGCTCTTATCGTAAGAAGGAAACGGAGGGGTGCTGAGCCCCTCCCTCTTCATCACCCTCCTCTGTTGCTGCGGGGATGGTGGGGGGTAGGTGAGGGACGCGTGCAGCAAGTGTGCCGCTCGGTTCCAGGAAAGGGCTTGTCTTTGTTACTTCACCACAAAATCATGCTGCTGGTCTTCATAATTCAAATACGTAACATTTATCAATGCAAAAATGTCACATAAATTTAATGATGATAAAACATAATTTTAACCTATAGACAGCGTTGTTGAAGAACTAATTATATAAGCAAAGTTTAAGCAATTTGCAATTGGCAATAATCTGGTTGCCAATTTTAACAATGCAGACCTTTTTAATCTCAATTTTCATGTCCATATCCATTGTTTTTTCTTTCTTATTACTCTTAAATTTGCTCTTGAAGTATTGTTTGTCTTGTATTTTAATAGTTTTCTACCATGTAGATTTTTTAAAGCTAACTGCAGTAAATGCTGTTATTTCTCCTCCTACTTTTGCTAAATGTTATCCTTCCACTTAACTTTGCATTAATATGCTTGGACACAGCGCTCTGTGAACAGCCATCTTCTTCAACTTTTTGTATCTTACCCTTGTGTAGACCAAAACACAGTGCTAGAAATTCTGTATTGTCAATATATATTTTTTAAATCGTACTCTTATGGTCTATTGAATTTGTGTTTCATCAACTGTGAGCTATGATCATCAACATGATCTTATTTCAACGTTTGAAATGTTTTTGTAATGAATTGGATTAGCCTATATATATATTGTCATCCTTAGTGTAAACATAAAATAGAAAATTGTCCATGGGAACACGATGTAACACTCCTGTAGAAAGAATCTGAGTCATGCCCAGAATCTTTTGTCCTCAACCACCGACATTTTTCTTTCTTTCTTTCTTTCTTTCTTTCTTTCTTTCTTTCTTTCTTTCTTTCTTTCTTTCTTTCTTTCTTTCTTTCTTTCTTTCTTTCTTTTTTGCCTTTTGTGGCCAGAACTAATGAACGATAGCTTGGACGCTGAAAAACATCCAGACTCAAACTAAGGAAGAGTTAAATGGAGGTGGGGGAGTGGGAGAATGGCGTGTTGTGATTGGACCGGAATATGACGGACCTATGAGATGCGTGCAGACGGGATACCCAAGCCAAAACTGCGTGGAGATCATGTGTCTTGAATTTTGAAGTTTGGGCTGGAGGGGTAAGGGGGGGGGGGGCCTGGGCGGGGGGGGGGGGGGGGGGCGTTGGGGGGTGGGGGGGCGCC